GCGCCGCGGGCAGCACCTTCTAGCCCCGTTGGAGAGTGCCGAGTAGCAGCACGTCGGCCCCCGAGGTATTTCTGGCTCTGTGGAGAGGACGCAGGAGCCCTTGGCTCCAGCGCCAGCGGTGCCGGCACCCCTGCGGGCAGCGCCACAGAGCCGGCAGCAGCTCTGCCCTTTGGTAGCCAGTTCAGTTGGCTGGTCAGGCTGGTCTGGAGGCCTCCAGCTGCCTCCGAGCTCTGTCCCCAGTTCTCCCCCAGGCACAGCATCTCACCAGTCTGGTCCCTATTGCCACGCTCTTGCACACCAGAAAAGCGTCTTCTAGCAACAGGCAGAGGCAAACAGGTGCCTGGGTGCAAAGGCAGCAGCGGTTTGTGCTTGAGGGTTTCTCTTTCTCCTCCCATCCTGGACGCTGGGAGAGAGCTGCAGAGGCCGAGCAGCTGCAGGCTGCTCCACAGGGGCTGTGCAGGTGTCCCTGTAACCCTGTGCCAGCCGGGGCTCAAGCTGTTCTGTTGGTTTTTTCGTGAGGATGAAGCAGTCCCTTGGAAGCTGACGAGGCCAGCATACCAAGCAGAGCATCTGCTTGTCTGGGCTCAAGAATTTTTCTTGATAGCCTCAGCTCCTCTTGCCTGCATGCTTGGGTAGCCCTCAAGACAGCTGGAATATGCCTTAAATTTCACCCCAGGCCCGAGCTTGGGAGGCTTGTGCTGCTACCCCGGCTCGGGGCCAGCTTCCAGCATGCTCATTTCCCCGTGTGAAGCAGGGCTGATGATGCTGCCCCTGCTTTGGGGACAGCTCTATCGCCCTGTGTAACACTAGCTGCGAGGGGAACTGTCTTGTGCAAGACATTCAAAGGGTTTCTCACTGCACTTTTGTTCGCTTGACGCTGCTTCCTTGCCCCTCTGGAGTGGGGGACACAAGGGCGCTTTGCTCTGCTTCGGTGGGACGTGGCATGGCAAGAGCTGCTTGCAACAGCCGCGCAGCCTCCTGCGTGCCTGCCTTGCCTCATTCAGATCCTTGCAGTTACGCTTTGTTTAACCAAAACATGAGGTTGGGGTGCACAGGGAGTCTCCTGCCTGCCCCGTATTGGGGCACTGCGGCGCGAGGGCTGCTCATGCCTGCGGGCAGCTTGTCCCCCTGCGGCCTGCCCCGCATTGGAAAGGGAGGACAGGGACGGTGTGAGCTGTCTTGCAGCCCACGTGTCCCGTGTGTTCACGTGCCTTTGCTCTGGCACAGGGGACAGCTCTGGACAGACCCAGGGGATGCCGCTGAAGGAGCTGCCTCGTTCGTAAGCGCCAGCTGGCCGATCGGCCTGATCAGCGGAAACCTCCTCCCTCCGGAGGGGCTGCCTCGGATCCCACCACCTGGAGCAGCAGGTACTGGCTTAAGGTCTTTCAGTCTGCAGCTGATGCCTGGCTTGTAGCATGGGGAGAGGTCCAGGCAGCAGCAGCTGGAGAAGGTGCATGAGATGGCTGAGCTGATCGAAGCTGCTCTTGCTGAGAGGAGAGGTGGAGCTCAGCTCTTTGGCAGGGAGACTGACAGCCTTGGAAAGGTGGTGTAAGTCTCTAGAGTGGAAGATTGGAGAAAATAAAAGCACTATTGCTGGGGGTGGGTTGCAGAGTCGATTGATTCAGGCCTTAGCAGGGGGGAAAAAAAAAAAAAAAGTAGCTGCTGGGTCGGGTCAGAACTGCAGACCTGTTGGTTTCCCCTACTGCAGCCGGGTGCAGCCTCACACTTCTGCCGGTTGCTCCTGCTCAGAGCTCGAGGGAGCAGCCGTGCAGAGGGCTCAGAGAAGGGGAGTCAGGAAAGCACACGGGTGCCGGAGATGATGAGCTGGCAGTGCCGAGCGGCAGCTTTGGAGGCTGCTGGGGCATGCGGAGTCGTGTGGCTTCTGCTCAGTAAGTCTTCTTGCTTTGTGTTATTTTTGTCTGTTCTGTTGCAGGCTGCAGCTTCTGACATGGATTTGCTCTTGATCTGCCCCTTTCTGTTCACACTGGCGTTTTCCAAGAGCAGCTTTGCAGACCTACAAAAACAGAGGGTGGACTCTGGCTTGGAGATCTGTATCCTTCTCTGCAGGCCTGTGCCTCAGCTCGTGAATATGTCCCTGTGCCTGATGAGGCTGGAGAGAGCTCACGTGTATGAAGAGGGTCAAGGACTGTGGAAGGGGGCACTAGGGGGGTGGAAGAGAGGGAATGGAAGAACCTTGAGGCTGTAATTATTGCTAATGAGATTATAAACGAGCTGAGGAAATGCAGCCATCGCCATCTGATTGCCAGCCAGGACTTGGCTGGGCATGACCCAGAGTAATGTCAGAGCTGGGCCTGCTCCATGCGGGGGTTGGCCTGGAGACCTTCAGAGGTCCCTGCTGGCCGAGTGGCATGTGTAAGGCAGCAGTCTGCCAGAGCGCTGCCCGCTGGCTGCTTCATGGGGAGCTGCGCCCTGCAGGGACACCGAGACAGGGCCGGGGGCCCTGCGTGAGCTGGGGAAGGGCAAATGTGGGAGAGGAGGCCCTGGGCTGCAGGGTCAGCTCCTCCTTTTCTTGACTGTCAGGTAGCCCAGCATAGCTGAGCAGTTGCTGCTTTGCTCTTCTGCAGGAAAGGTTTAGTGCAGCTCCCAGGTGCACTGATGAAATGCTCGGATTGATGCGGGAGCAGAGGCAGGATCCCCGGCGGTGTCTCACCTTCTCCCAGGTGTGGTGCTTTCCCTCCGCACTGCCCCGTGCTGGGTGGAGAACGTGCCTTCCAGCTGTGTCTTGGCGCTGCTGTCCTTGCCCGTGTGACAGAAGCTGCACCACGACGCACACGCATTGCTGAAAGGCAGCCCCGAGGTGTCTGGCTAAGAGGATGGAAGCGCTCACTCCAGCCAGTCCCTCCTGTGTCTGGGCAGTCTTCACCCACAAGGAGCAAGGTAGAAGTACTTGCTAATGCGAGTGCTTCCTGACACATGCTGGCGTCCCCTCGTGAGCAAGTGGGGCATGAAAAGAGGGGAGCTTAGGAAACTCCCCTTCTAGCCCAAATAGCCCCAGTACAGGAGGGACGTGGAACTTCTAGAGAAGGTCCAGCATAGAGCAACAAAGATGATTAAGGGACTGGGGCGTCTATTGTATGAGGAAACACTAAGTGAGCTGGGCCGGTTTAGCCTGGAGAAGAGAGGACTGAGAGGAGATCTGATCAACATGTACAAGTACCTGAGGGGTGATTGTAGGGAGGATGAGGCCAAACTCTTCTCCGTGACCAGTGACAGGACAACGGGTAATGGGTGCAAGTTGAAACACAGGCAGTTTCATCTTCATGAAAGGAAGAACTTCTTTGCTGTGAGGGTGACAGAGCCTGGAACAGGCTGCCCAGAGAGGCTGTGGAGACCTTCCAAACCCGCCAGGACGCCACCCTGTGCCACGTGCTCTGGGTGTCCGTGCTTGAGCAGGGGGTTGGACTAAATGATCTCTAGAGGTCCCTTCCAACCTCAACCACTCTGTGATTCTGTGAAATGTCCTGATCCCGAGGTCTGGCTCTGTCACCTGCCCCCAGCCCAGGGACCCCGCGTGGCCCCCATGTCGCCGCGGCCGGAGCAGTGTCTTGTGCCCACGGGAGCGAAAGGGCTGTGTGCGAGGAAGGTCGCGCGCATGGCGGGGCCTGCTGGGAGCTCTGCGGTGCCCTTGACTGTGGTGCAGATAAGAAGCTGTTTGAGGTAAAGCGCAAGGACCAGATGAACGCGCTAAAGAACCTTATCGAGCTCAATGACGTGAACCAGCAGTACAAGATCATTGACATCATGCTCAAGGGACTCTTCAAGGTGAGGCGTGGGACAGGCGCTTGGCACCAGCTCCTGGCTCCCTCCTTCGCCCCTGGCCTAGGGCCACACTGCACCCCGTGGTGGTGCTTTCCATGGGCCAGGATGCCGGGGAGGACGAGCAGGAGAGGTCATGGCAGCAGGGAGCATCGGTGGCGCTGAAGAGACAAGCTGAGGGGCAGTGTGGGGTGCTGTAGCAGTAAGGAGTCCTCCAAGGACTGCCCCTAGGGCCTGAGCTGGGGCAAGGATGGGGAAGGTGGGGGTGCAGGTGAGATGGGCAATAACCGAGTGCGTTTCAGGTGCTGGAGGACTCCCGGGCTGTGCTGATAGCTGCAGATGTGCCGCCAGATGGGCCTTTTCCTCAGGATGAGAAGCTAAAGGATGGTAGGTCATCTCTGGTCTTTGACCCCTGTTCCTTTTTCCATTGCTGTGCTGCATCTCTGTCTTTTCGTGTGAGATTTAAAGCTCGATCCTGTCAAGCTCCTGGAGAACATGCTGCACGGCTAGGACAAGGGAAAGGTGCTGCCTGTTGCAGCTGTCTCCAGACTTTCCTGCTCCCATTTCCCAAGTGGCCCCAAGTTGATCTGGCTCTTGGGAGCCTGTGTGGCCTCTCCCACCCTGATCTCTGCAGTCAGGAGCGGCTCCACATCCATCCTGGCTTCCTGCAGACAGCATGAGCTGAAACTGCCCTGTGCACTGCTGAGGGCTAGGAGCCAGTGTGGGCCATCAGCCCCCAAGGAGGCCGGGCTGGGCGTATACAGTGTGTCTGTAACTGCGGGTGTTGGGATGTGGAAGGGGGTGTCTTGCGTTCTTTGGAAGCAGCTTTTCCTCCTGTCCCTGTGGGCTGGTTCCCCTGTGGGGACCTTGACTTGCGTAAGGTGCAAGTTGGGTGGTGCGCAAGGCCACCACGGCTCTTCTGTGCAGCGTACTCCCACGTGGTGGAGAACACGGCCTTCTTCGGAGATGTCGTCCTGCGCTTCCCCAAGATTGTGCACCACTACTTCGACCGCAACTCCAACTGGAACAACCTCATCCGCTGGGGGATTGGTTTCTGCAACCTGACGGGGGTGTTTGAGCAGGGACCTCACTCCCAGGTCCTGGGGCTGGTAAGGCTGAGTCCTTCCCATCACATCCTGTCCCTGCTGCTGGGAGGCAAAGCATGGCAATGCGTGCAAGGAGAAAGGGAGAATAGGGAGTGTCTGCCTCTTGACAGGCAGGGGAGACACTCTGCAGCCTGAGGGGACATCCTTGAGCTGGGGGGATACAGAAGGGGAGAGTGAAGGGGACTGAAGGGGCACAGGACAGAGGGAAGGCTTGGAGGGAGGCAAGGATGTGGATTGCGGTGGGCCAGAACGGCGTTGGGAAATGAAAGCGGCTCTCCGACATGGACCCTGCTTTGCTCTGCAGATGGCTCAGGAGCTGGGGATCAGCGAGAAATCTCCTGATTACCGCAATCCCTTTAAAAGCGACCACTCGGAGGTAAGGCAGCAAAGCCTCCAGCCTGCCCTGCGCGGGGGTTTCCTCCTCCTCAGGGCTCCGGCAGCCGGCTGGGGAGGAGAACGTCAGTTTTGGGGAGGAATGGCCACGTGTGTGTCTGTGAAGGGAAGCACAGGAGAGAGCCTGGTCTCTCGCTGCACTGCTGTTTGGTTGCACTGGTGGTGCCAAGCGGTGATGGGTGCAAACCCATAGCTCTTGTCTGCTCCCATGCAGAAAGGCAGGTCAGGTTGGACCATCTGGGGAGCAAGTGGCTCAGGGACAGAACTGAAAAGCCAAAACCAAATCTTCATGTTGAATTCACTGGCTGGCCTGCAGCTGGCGTTAGGTGCATGGTGGCCTGGTGGCACCTCCCTTTTCCTGGCTGGTTCCCTGGGGGAGAATGGGCGTAATGGAGCTGCCTTCTGGGGGAGTCTGGCTGCGATCCCGCCCAGCTCGGCTCTGTCTCATCTAAAGCCCCTTGAAACCACAGCGCTTGGGCATCGGCCTCAGAGGGCCTGGTGTGGCTTGTGCTTCCAGGAAGCGACGCTGCGGAAAGCCGGGCTGTGCCCGGCCTCCTGAGCTGAAGGGCCCGTGTTTGGAGCAGGAGGAAGGGCGCGACGCAGCCAGTTCCTCCTCAGCTTGAGTCAGTTTTAATCTTTCCCAAACTGGTGTGCATCTGCTTCCCTCCTGTTACCGGAGTGGCAGAAGCACCTCCGCTTCCGTGATCTGGCACCTCCTCCCAGGCAAAATGAGCCGTGTCACCGGCCGCGCTCGCTCCCTGCTGACCCCTGCCTTTACCCCGCAGTTCTTCCCCGGCGCGGACACCTTCCAGAAGGCGCTGCGGGATGAAGAGAAGCGGCGGAGGAAGGAGGAGAAGCGCAAGGAAATCCGCAAGGGCCCGCGCATCTCGCGCTCGCAGTCCGACTTGTAGCGCCGGCGCTGCCGCTTCGTGGCGCAGAGCCGGCCGCCTGCAGATGGGCCCCTCGGCAGCCTCGGGCCCTTCCCTTTCCATTTGTGCCGTGGGTTTTGTTCAGTTGCGTTTCCTGTTGGCTCGGCATGACGGCCGGGCAGGGGTCCTGAGCACGGACCAGGGGTTCTTTTGACCAAGGCTAGTGGGGCTGCCCCATGGAGATGGGGGGCTGGAGTCGGTGCCCCTTCCCCAGAGCCAAAGCACAGTTGGGAAGGCCCCGGGGCCACTGCTGGCCCAGCCGGGACAGAGCTGCACCGGAGCCCCTGGGAGCCTCCCGCTGCCGGAGAAATGCAGCGCGACGCACATGAAATGGGCCTCCTCCGTCCCGGGGAGCTCATGGCCTAACAAATAGCCTCATGAGCAATGCTGCTTCTGTGATTTTTTTTTCTTCTTTTTGTTTTCTTTGAACTGGTGATGTGATGTTGTTTCTATTCCTGCCCAGCCTGGTTATACCTGCACTCTGCCCGGCCGATACCCCCGTTGTCTGATCAGCTCTCTCCTTCTGGAGGAGGCTGCTTTACAGGGCAGTGGGCGTTTTGCCCATGATACCTGAAAAAGCCAAAGGAGCTGCTTCCCAGCCAGACCGTGTCCTGAGTGGCTCCCAAGGGGTTGCCCATGGGACGTCGGGATGCACGCTGGGAATAAAGCCGCGTTTGCACCCACGGACGTGGCCTCTCCAGCCGCCTCTTCCTGGCTGTCGCTCTGAGTGATGAGGGTGGAGGGGGCACATTTGAGGTGTCTGGTCATAGGAAAGGGGTTGGAGCAATGTCCCATGGCCAGGGGAGCATCAGGGCCGCGCCGAGCAGGTTGGAGCCCTGTTGCCCGAGGGGCTCGCGGGATGGGTGGGCTGCAAGTGGTCGGGGCAGGGGCATTGCAAGGAAGGAACTGAGCCTCCCCGGCACCTGGCATTTCCCCTGCTGCAGACGGGCTGCTCGATGGGACCAGAGCTGAGACGCACGCCTTGTTTTTAAATGCAGAGACAGGTATGTTGGATGAGGGCGTCAGGAACTTGCATTGAAATGGAAGCTTTTTTTTTTCCTTGAATAAATCTGTTTTTTTTTTTAAAAAAAAAAAAACAAAAAAAACCAAAAAAACCCCAAAAAACAAAAATCAAGCCTGTTTCTTGTATTTGGGGTGGGAGCACTTGCAAAGCGGGTGCAAGGCGAAGGGTGCGTCTTGGCGGTGAGTCCAGTCTGTTGGGAATCGCACGAGCGTGGAGAGGCTGCAGGGATCAGACCAGCTCTCCCCCCTAGTTGCCGGTGACAGGGGAGCCCCTTTTCATGAACCCTCCCGACGCCCGTTCCTTAACAAACCCGGTGCTGCCTTCGGTTTCGCGTTGGTGTCCCGCGGCGGCGGCCGCCGGACCCGC